ATTATTTTGTCTAGCAGGTTTACATGAAAACAAATCACGACACCTTAGTCAGTAATTTCAATATGTGCGAGTTATTTCATCACCCCCTTAATTATGTCCACTTGAAGGTGTATGTATCAAGTCCTTTGGAAGTTCACAACTACCTGACGATCTTTCTGGGCACAGAATCATCAAGGACACATGCTACTTGTTCTTCATCTTTTCTGTGGACTCTAGGCATCACTCAGTGTGGATCCAGTTTACCTTCATGTCAGTGGGAGAACCAAACTGTGTTTAGATCATCTTAGCAGTTCCAGTTTTGTGGACTCACTACCTAATCTTTCTTCCTCTACTCTATGCTCTGTTGATTGAAGCCTAAACCCAAATGGACAATAACAGCTGTAGATAATCTGTGTAGTTCTCACAATTGTATAAGGATGAAATACTCTTACATATCCACATATCTATAATTTTACCTACATACAAATGTCTATTTATCTATGATCTATCTATCTATCATTGATCTATCTTACTATCTATCACAGCATCTGATTCCAACATGATACTGCACCTGTAATACGACCGGGTAAATATCCTGAGATTGTCCAGAGGCTTTCTAACAACCAGTATCTGAGGCTAAAATACGTGAACGTACCACACAAAAAATGTATCATTCTTTCATATGTGCTGCAAGCCTTGATGTTCCATCCTGATTGCCTTGGAACACTACCACAGGTGCTAGACACTCAATCCCGATTTGGCTCCACATTACATCTGAGTCACACTCTCCTTAGCTTTGAGCTACCAGATGTGCTCCAGTTTTATGCACAGAGAAACAAACTTGTTTCTGGTCTAGCATTTCACTATTTATGCTCATATGTAAGTGGTACGTGGCTATGGAAAGTCAGCCTGCTTGTCTGAACTTGGGCCACTTCTGGAGGCATCATGTACGCTGCTCCGTTGTCTCTGCATCTCTCCATTCCATCCGAAGGTAAAGGCGATTTACTGTGAGTCTCCACTCCTGCTTGGAATCTCCCTAGTCCTGCTTCCCATGCTACATTACTAATTCCAAGTGAGAAAACTCCCATCATAAGTCACTTACACAATAATTCTCATACCTGGACCAGATTGTGGATAACCAAAGTAAGGTATTGAATGATCAAAGCATAGGTATGCATTTTTATAAAATAACTCATGAAAACTTTTATAATGCATGTGAACTATATCAGGGTTAATATATTTAACTTAGTAAAATTCTAGCAAGGAGTACAGCACTAACACACCCCCAGTTTTTGTAGGAAAAATTAAATCGTAGCCCTCAAGTGGAAAAAAAAAACATTTTTTGCAAAAACATTGATCTGACATGGGAGACATAGACATGCTTGGGCTGGGGAGAGTAAAAGAGAGAGAGAGAGAGAGAATTAATCAATTTACTAATTCATTTCACCAAATGCCCACAGCAATCAGGGCTGTGACAGGCTAGAATTAAGAGTCAAGGACTACATATGGGTATCTCACAAGGGTAGCAGGAACCATGAACTTGAATTACTGCCTGTTGACTCCCAAGTTATGCATTCCCAGGAGGCTAGATCAAAAGTGGTGCTGTTACGACTCAGGAGAGCGCATAGATATGGAAGGCAGACATCCAAAGCTTTAACTGGCAACTTAACCAGCAGCCCACAAGACCCATAATAAACAAAACAAAACATCAAAACAAGAAACAACAATGAAATAACTACCAACAGATCTGAAGCAGGAATGCTTCTTTTAATGACTGTCAAAAGTCCATGCATTTTTATATAATGTTGTATAATATGTGCTTACATTCCTCCTCAAAGAACACATTATCTTATTCATTTATAAAATGTGTTGTCCACTTGCCAACAAACAATACAGCATAGAATAAAAAGTATTAACTTTAAGAGAAAGTTTGTATTTTCACTTCTCAGACTCTTGTTTGGTACTTTGCCAAGGAAAAGGACTTCATTTAACCAGGCATTCTTAAACTTTTATGAGCCCAGAGATATTCAGCGTTTGTCCTGCTGAGATTGCCTGTTTAGGTATAATAATATTAGAATTTTCTCCTTGTTATTCAGGATCAATATATACTTCACTATGAATATATTTTCATTTAATGTGTCTGTTAAATAACACTTTTACAACATGATCATGTTGGCTATCTTTAACTCATTGGAAATGCAAACATGATTTAAATTTTCATAGGACAAGGAGATTGTGTGACAGCTAATCAATACCTGACTTTGTCCTTAAGTGGTTAGACTGTCAAGGATGAAGCGTTTCCATCAGTGAGTAATATTACACCTTTAGACAAAATCCCCCTAACCAAATATCATGATGTTCCACCAGTTCTCCTATATTGAAGGTAAAAAAGAATCAGCATGTTTGAGTGTTCAATTTCATTGTCCTATATTTTTTTTAATTAGCAAAAAGAAATATTGGGTTAACTCTCCTTTTCAGACCTACCTATTGATTTTTATATCTATATTTTTTTATCGTTGACTTAGCAGTCAAAAGATATTTGGACTTTAATTATAAATATAGATTTGAAATATACCAATCTAATTCATGGAATGGTGTGAATTAAAATTATCATTGAGCTTGGAATGAGAAAACATTGCCATTTACTATCTGTATTGCCCAGGGCAACTTGTTTCAATTTTCAAAACCTGCTTTTTTGCATTTCTACTATGATGATAAATAATTCATAGAATGTTCAGGAATTATAAAGACAGAAAATATATGTAAAATTACCTAGTGAGGGTTATATTCAGAGAAAAAAATATGTGAGCGAATGAATAAAGTTACAAGAAATCTAATAAAGGGGGAAATGCTGCTACATAGGTAACTTTAACCTGCTTTTCCTATAAGTATTAATCTAGATGTTTGCATTTCAGTGTGATTATAAATAAAACACTGTATTTTTTTTCTACACTCAGAGAATCAGGTGCAGGGACTCAGGATCAGAATGGCAGACCATTTATGCTTGGGGAATGTAAAAGAAATCATCTACCAATCCAATGGATGCAAAGACGTTAAATAATCCTCCTTAACAATCTATATTGCTTTTGCTTGCTTAGATTTATCATTTGTGATCTTGATAACAGATTGTTTTAAAAAATCAAAGTATGTTTTGTAAGTCTCAAGGTGAGCTCAAACCCCACGTGAATATAGACTTAAAAAAAAAAAAAAACACCTTGTTAAAGTAACTCACGGAGCAATTTCCAAACTTGAGAGGTGTAATTCATCATGTCAAAATGCCAGGCACCTAGTCCTTCATGGGCCCAGAGTCCAAGGTGGTGGGGATGTGAGGTCTGAGTATCAAGAGCCAGAGGAATGCAGAGGCGGCCAGGCAGTTCCCATCTTTGTTTCTGGACAGACAACACATAAGATTCCTGTCACAAGGACATTTTTAGTGACCATGGAGCCTTCCAAATGAAAATATAGTCACCTTGGACACAAGCAATCTGGCTGCAGCAGTTTCTGTCCAGAAAGATACTTGAGTCATTTAGAAATCACTCAACACATCCTGACTTTAGTCAGACTTTCACCCATGGATTTCAGAGGCAACATTTAAAGGTTAAAAAAAGGAAATGGCTGATCGGATAATGAGGAATGCTGTCTTGAAAGAATGGTGCAGTAGGTAGGAAGAGAAGTTGGGCTGAGAACTTAATATTTGTGACAGAGTAATTTGAAAATATCAGCACTTACATAAATCCCTTTGTATCTTTTCTGTTAGTCCATCGACATAAACTTACAGGAGATCTCTGTAGCAAAAGAATCAGACACAGGGCTATGAAGAGACATCAGTCTAAGCTAGAAACCAGTACAGTCCATTTCCAGAACCGCTTCCTTCCTTGTTCTCCATTTACTAAACTCCTGGCTTAGCTAAATGTCCATGGAATACGATGTTAATGAAATAAGAAAAATCAGCTGTACTGCAGGAACTTGGAAACAAGCAAATACACAACAACAAAACTATCCTGAAGTAGTGCTTGCTAATTGACAATGAAAGTTTCAGGGCGAATTTAGAGGACATTAAAAAACAACAACACTATGTGTTTTTGATCCCCCTGTATTGTCACAAAGGCACACACTATGTGAGTGACATTGGGGTTGTCAAGGAGAGCATAGAGGGGGAGACAGGGTTTCTGCTTTCTATTAAGAAATATGAATACTAAATGGTTCATCCTCATGCTGACCTGTAAGGTCATGGTTCCTCAGCCCCTTAGTATTGAGTTATCCCCTGATGTGGCTGTACTCAAAATCCAGGCACCAATGCAGACACCTTAGACAGCATATGTGCATGCTCTGACATGGGCACAGTATCCAAATACCATTTGCTCTAATTTTACCAAGGAATAAAAAGAACTTCTTTCTTAGGGCTTCATTGTACCATAAGAAAATTTTAAAAGGTACATGACCAAGTTTCTAAATGAAAACCATCCACGATCAAAATGTATTTATGTGACAATACTTCAAAAAGTATGTGGGAAACAATTAAAAAATAAGGTTATGTTGGTGTAATATTTAACCCATGCATTTTAGGGTTTCTTCTAAAAGCTCACTGGTCATGCCCATTATGGGAAAACTATACATAAGTTTTAAAATGTAACTGATGGGCATGATTTAATTTTTAATTCTAGTTTTCATTGACCTTTTAGAATTACATTCAAATAATAGTCAACTGGTTTTATATCCCTTTACATAATGAATGTTTCTAGTGGCTTAACTTTAAAATGTATTCAATACATGCACAACACCTAAAGAATACAGGAATAGGAACTGATTTCACAGGCTTCCAATTTCCTGCAAAAAAAAAGCACAAGGGAAAAATAAGGCAGCATTGTTGGGCCTCATATAAGTTTACCTTTAATTGTGAGAAAGCAAAAATTGTGAAGTTTTATTGGAGCAGGAGATGCAGCTACATGAAGTAATCTAATAGGTGGTTCAGTGGAATGCCAACACAGGCAAACCACTCTGTCTTAGAAAAGGGAAGCCCCATGCTCGCTTCGGCAGCACATAAACTAACACTGGAACGATACAGAGAAGATTAGCATGGCCCCTGTGCAAGGATGACATGCAAATTTGTGAAGTGTGCCATATCTTTGGGTTGCTCTGGAGCACCCCACCTCCAAATTAGATCAAATAGACAGGGGCCGATAAGTAAAGCTTAGAACAGACAGGAAACAGTCAACTTGGACTCCCATATACCTTACTAGGTAGGACACCAAGATTAGTTACTCTTAATAAGATATTGAAGATTTCTCTGCACACCCTTTTTAAAACTGTTCTGCTCCTCAACTGTTAACATATGCCATGTTTGAATTATAAACCTGCTTGTACTATCCTAAAATTCACGAAGTTCAATAAAAATCACACTTGAAGTAAAGAGCAGGGAAGCCCTTACACTGCACCAGGAACTTTAGGGCTTTTGTGGCTGTGATTTTTGTAGGACACTTTTTGATAAGGCACAGTCAGCAATGTGGCATTCATCTTCCCTCATAATACTTCAAGATCAGTGACTTAACAAAGTTTGTAGCTGCTTCTATTGCCAGCAATTACGCTTGAATCCTGCAGAATTGCACTTGCCATTCCAATCTAAGTGCTAGGCGTAATCTCCAACATGCATTGATGCTATGCTGTTAGATAAATTTAAATGGGGGTGAAGTGATCCCTTCACTTCACCCTATGACTACATAAAAACTAAACCATGTGCCCATGTAAAATCACACAGCTACACACTCAGTACATTATAAAGGAAATACATTATTAAGGAAATGATAACTTGGATTTAAATTAAATATTTGAAATAGCCATCCACCCTTTAAATGTTTTATTTAACAAAAACATGAATCATAATTGTGTGTTTATAGTGCACATTAAAATAATAGAGAAACTTTATAGAAAATACCTTAATTAAATAGGCTAATGGTTCTACATTCTCAGTGAATGCATTTTATACTAGATGTTTTATTAGCCAAAATATTGTCTTGCAATTTAATAACTCTAAGCTTATTTTGCCATAATAATCAAATTTAGCAGAAGATTATAATACAGGTTATGAATTCTTAAGAAAATTTTCAGATTAATCGTTTGGAAACTACTTTGGATTTAGCCAAATTAGTAAAATAACATATGTAAGATAAAATTTACCATCTTGACCATTTTTACGTATAAAGCTCTTTACTGTTACACTTCCCTGTTCTGGAGTGTACCCAGGTGGCAGGGCTGATCAGCTTTCAAAGCACTGAGAGTGTCAAACAACAGTGTGTTTTCCTCCTAAGCCATCTCTGGCAACCGACTTTCCACTTTTGACCTCTGAATTTGACCGCTGCAGGTACACATTTAAGCCAAATTAATCACATGAACATATGTTTGAAGTGTCATTTCTGGGTGGCATTTCCTAGTTCACTACTGTTGTTTATGTTATCCCTACACTTGCTTCATGATTATAGTTTTGTATTAGCTGCAATTAAAAAGAAATCAAAGTGTTCTTGGTATTTAGTGTCCCTTATGATTATATATGAGATTTAGGATATAGTTTTCATTCTTGCAAATTAGTGATATCTGGATTTTGGTGGGGGTTGCAAGAAGTATAAAGAACAACCTTAGGAATACTCCACTAACAGGTGAACAAAATCTTTCAACCATGAGTTTAAATTCCTCTTACTTCATTATGTGTTTTCAAAATTACTCTAGAAAAATTGTGTAGTTTTCAAAGTTGAAATCTTTTGACTCTTTGTTTTTATTTTTGATACTGCTACAAATATCTCATTTTTTGATTGTTCATTTCTAGTTTTAGGAAAAACAGCCGATTTGTGTACATTGCCTTGATTTTTATAACTTGATGAATGCATGTGTTAAGTGGAAGGGTTTTGTTTGTGTGTGTGTGTGGGTGAAATTTTTAGAGTTTCGCATGTTCATTTTAAGTAAAATTCTGTGAGGTTGGATGAATTTTAAGAACTTAGTGGATGGATGATATTTGTATCATTGTCATTTTTTCATTGCAAGTGTCACTGAAGATTGCACTGTTGTGGGGACCTAAACTTTTGAAGAATAAAAATTACTGTATCTTGTGACTTCATCTTTGTAACTTTGATTTTGTAAGCTAACATCTTTCTTTTCAAATTTTCTTTTTTCTTATAATTTTATGAAGTAGACATAGTAAACTACCTGAGATGGCTTTTGCCAGAAAGTGCTATAGCCTGGCTCAGCCCAGCCTGCCCCAAGTCTCAGCTCTCACCAGTGAGTACAGCAGATTAGCACACCCTGGCACATTCTCACCCCAACCCTCACATGAACCAAGTGTTATAGTCCAACCCAGCTCGACCTGAACCTTGTCTTGGCTGTTGTTCATGCCAGTATGTGTTGTGGTCTCACCTAGCCCAGCCTGCCCCCACACTAGTCAATATGGATGCTAGCAAGTGTTGCAGCAAGGCTGGCCTGAACTGCGCCCCTCCTCACCCCCACCCCACCTCCAGCCCTGGCTCTTGGGCTCATCTGCAGGAGCTATGCTTGAGCAGGGCAGTTCTCCATGTTCCCCTAGCAGACCAGATCCTAGCCCTGGAAATTGGCTAGTCCCTATTGCTATCACCAGGGGATATGGCAACCTAGCCCAACTGATTCTCATTTGTGGATTTTGCATCCTAGCCCAGCTTGTTTCACACCCATGCAAGGCTCTCATGTGATCTGGCAGGTTCTGTGACCTAACCAGGCCTGTTCCACACCCATTCTAACTCTTGAGCATCAGCAGGTGCTGGAGTCTAGCTCAGTCTGGCCCACCACTAGCCCCAGCTGATACATGCTGATGGGTGCTGCAGCCTTACGCCGCCAGATCCACCCATCAGCTCTCACACTTATTTGTGGGAGCCGCAGCCAGCATTGAAGCCCCCAAAGATCCCCTACCGGGCCCATTGTCAAAGCTATGTATTGTGGTTGCTGGCATAACCCATGTGAAGTCTCAGCTCTTACTAGCTGGTGTCGTGGCAAAGTCAAACTGGGAGTGGTCCATACCCTGTCCTCCCTCTCATGCATGCCAGCTGGAGTGCAGCCTGGCCCTTCATGGCCTCCTAAATATCTCAGTTCCTGTGAATATCAGCTGAGTTCTGCTGTCTACTCTGGCTTGTCCCGTCACCATACCCAGCTCTTGAGCAACCTGGTAGGTGCTGCAGTCCCACAGAGAGCTATCCACAATTGCCCTACAGAATCTGCTCCCAGATCTGGTTCTTTCACATTCAGGTGGATGCTGTGGCCAAGGCTGACATGGCCCATCCCCTTCCCCAACAGGCACACACACAGGCAGATACTGTAGCTTAGTCCAGCCAGGCATGCTTTCCAGCTTTATCTTTCATGCATACCACATGGGTGGGTACCTGGAGCTGATTCAGACATGCCCTCTGATTTCCCTCCTCTCAATCTCCATCTTAGCTCTTCATTTACCTGTGGGTACAGGTACCTGGTCTGTGGGAGCTCCAAGAAGCCATCCCTCACCTATCAAACATGCCTTCAGAGACTACTACTCCAACCGTTCCCCGGACCCCTTTTACTGGGTGATCTACAGCTCCCCATCTGTGGTTGGGGTAGCACATTCCTGATCCTGCAATTCCCAGCCTTTCCCACATCTTTTTTTTTTAATATTTATTTATTTATGTTGCCAAGTTGAAAATATAGAGAGAAGGAGAGACAGAGAGGAAGATCTCCAATCGTCTGATTCACTGCCAAAGCAAACGCAAGGGCTGGTGCTATGCTGATCTGACGCCAGGAGCCAGAACCTTTTCCAGGTCTCCCACGCAAATTCAGGGTTGCTACTGCTTTCCCAGGCCACAAGAAGGGAGATGGATGGGAAGCAGGGCTGCCGGGATTAGTAATGGCACCCAAGTGGGATTCTAGCACATACAAAGGAAGGACTTTAGCCACTAGGCCACCGTGCTGTGCCCGCCCCACATATCTTTAATAATAATACTAATACTAATAATAATAATAATATAAATTCCACTGTTATAGCTAATACAAATTTGGCATTAACTGGGCCCACAGTGCACAGTAACGATTGGCTGCTTTTTTCCCAGTAGTGTAGCACTTGTCTAGGTTCTAGACAATCTTCACAGTTGCCTACAAGTGGACAGTCTGAAGTTATGAAATCTTTGATTGTATGGAAATTAGGTTGAAGAACACTGAAATAAGGAAAACCGCCTGCAGAATTGGGATTTTTAAGCACACATGTTGCTTCTTCTCATTCACTGTTCACCATTGACCTTTGTTCTTTTTATTTCTTTCATGCACTTTCATGAAAAACATGGCATGGGAAAGAATAATATGTGTATATTATTCTTTTAACATGTGTGTATTATTCTTTCAAGATTTAAGGAAGCCTTGCAGAAAGATTAAGAAACAACACAATTTAAACACACAGACAGCAGTACAAAATGCAAATCAAGTCTGCCACACCATCACCTTGTGTTGACAATGCTTCTGATTGGAATAATGGACATTGATATTCACTTAAAGAAAGGGACAAAGGATCTAAAGTGTTCTACTAAGTGAGTGCATGAACAAATAACCTTCAATGATCTTCCATAAATCAGAACGAAGTTCATTTCAATGATAAATTCTCTTAGTATCTCAACACTTTACGACAACAAGGATGAGTCCGTTGTGAGCCATTTGGTCTGCAAGATGAAATGGAAAAGCAGGGGCATCTAAGCCATAAGGATCTAACCTTTTCTACGGTAAGAAACAAAATTATGTAATTCAAAAAACATTATATCTGGGCTTCCTCTCATAGTTTATTGGCTTCACAATTAATATGATCATGTTTTAGTTGACTATGGGGGGGGGGTTTAAGGCTATCGTCATATTCTTACCAGTGTGAAAAAAAATAATGGTGGTTAAGTGTAAGAAAATCTTGCTATCAGCATTCTTTGTTCACATCACATGCATTCAAAATAGAATATAAATAATATAAACAATGTAAATTAAATTCTAAAACCAAATATTTGCAGATGAAAGGATCTTCAAAGTAGTCATGGAAATGCACTTTATAAAAAAAACCTATCTAGATATAAAGAAATGTTATTTGCAAAATAAACCTGTTATTAAATTCTGTTT